CAATTACACCTAACAGTTGTGGCTAACCTCCAGGCATAATGTGACCCACATCCTGTACAGTCAGAGCAGAGTTCTTGTCTTCTGTGTTCACCCGGATCACTCCGTGGCTCAGCCCGCCCATGGACAGGATGGCCCTGGCTGGCAGCGGAGCGCCTCGCGCACCTGGCCTGCACAAGGTAAAAAAATGTACATGCTTTTAACTTTTTATTCTGAATAGTGTATTTTTCCATTTTCATGACCCATACTATTTGCGAGTAATTGCTGCATCCTATGAATATTTACAGATTTCATGCATTTTCAATAAAGGACGTCTCAGTTAAATTTAATTATATAAATTTTGTTCTTACAGAGAAGAACAAATTTATCCCTGTATGTGTGAAAAGCACACGTCTCTCTGTTTATCTCTCTGTTCGTGTGGTTCACGTTGTACCTGCGGATGGCCACAGTCAGGGCCTCGGGAGAGGTGGCACACGGACAGATGACCTCAGGCTTCAGACCATGAGACTGGAACACATTCAGGAAAGCATCACACGAGGACACGGACCCTGAAGGCAAACAAAGGAGGAAAACATTAACAAAAGTAGGTAAAATCAGCTTAAACCCACAGCACAACATTTTAAAATGCCCATGTATAGTGACTGTTTATTACACGAGTTACTCACATGGGTTGGCTCCATCAGCTACTATAAGCATGCGTATTGAAGCCAAGTTGATGTCTTTCTGTTCTTTATGGGCCATCATGGCCCAGTGGAGGTCACGGCACTTCACCAAGGCCACACGTGCTATGAGAGGGTAAGAAAAATCCCTTAAGCATCATTTCTCTACTGTTTTCTTATTTTAAAAAATTTCTGACATTATTATTATCCTAGCAGTCTGTAAAATACTTTGTTTTATTAATATTGTTTTCTTATTAACTAAGCAAACATAGTAAAATTATAAGAATATGGAGTATAAAAGTAAGAACATTTGGCTCAACCTTTGTGAATGTGAACCCTTTGCACCCAGGACATGGGACAGGCCTTCATGACAGCATATGGCACAGTAATGGTGTGAATTCTGTTCATGACACTCTGCAGGGAAGGAAAACATATATATAAACCAACAGTGTCAATAACATACTGTACCACACACCAAAGTAATAAAGGGCATCTAGTCAGCAGCAGAAACGTCCAGTCTCACCGTTAAGACGCCATGCCACAAGCCCATATCTTTCTTACAGTCCAACACATTGACCAGTGTCTCCCCTAAGATAGAAAACACACGAGCAAATGAGTGCGTTCACCAGCTTCAAGTCCACAAAGTTACATCCAGTGTTTTATAGTCTCTGACCTTCACAGTAGTTACAGGCTTGTGTCAAAGCTTGACAGTGAGTCAGCATGGCGATCTTAGACACAGCGACTCCCATCACTGTTCCCTCCTTACTCGCTTTGTACTTCAGCGAGAAACAAACACACAGACAAACACACAGATGTCAACAACATGTCAAAATTAATATCAGAGTCAAATAATAGTGTGCGAGTTACAGAAGATAAATAATTGAATATATAACAGTTTACTAAAGATCAACTGATTGAATCTAAATTAGAAAGCAGAAATTAGAAATGCATTGAACTGCCTACCTCTATGTAGGCAGTGTCTGTGTTGGCAGTGGGAATGTGAGGCTGCCAGTCTTTGGATGGTTTGGTCAGGTACTTAGTGTCGGTCACTACCCATTTCATCCTCGGCCAACCTGCAACACGCAGACGCAAAGAACATGGAGCACGCAAAAACTATTACAGCTGTCACTAGGAAAAAAGCTGCACTAATTACACTAATATTGCAATAAAATGACAGCATCCAGAGATGATTCCTGATGAGCCGGCAGCATTAGCAGAGGCAGTTTAGTCTTGCTGACCTTTGAACTGGATGATCTCTCCGTTTTGTGTCTTGGGCAGCCCTTTGAGACACACCTCACTGGTCAACGCCAAACTCACACCACAGCTGCCCAATAGGAAGCCAATCTGCTGGCTCCCTGCATCCTATGACAAGAGGCTTAGGTCAGGAAACTTTAACACACAAGGACAGGCAAGCAGACAAAACTGTGACAACTAAAATAAATAAATTAATTAATTAATTAAAAAAATAAAAAAAATAAAAATAAAAAATAAAAAATAAAAATATAAAAATATAAAAAATAAAAAAATAAAAATAAAAATAAAAATAAAAATAAAAATAAAAATAATAGTGAGGCTCTCATTATCATAAACCATGCATTTGGTCCTAAACATGTGTAGCATTTTTCAGAAATCCCACAGAAGAACTGCTATGAAAACAGGTATATTTACCTGTCGGGACAGCGGCACCTCAATAGGCACAGGGATGACTTCAGCTAACAGACAGCCATAAAAGGCCACCCAGAACATGCCAGGATCACTGTTTGGATACACCAACGCCACCTAAGAAGCAGAGGAAATGATTTTCCTCGCTGTGCTGCTTTACAATTTACTTAGGAAGAAATGACTGACAAACTCTTACTCGATCTCCAGGTTGAAGGACAGGCTCGGTCTTTGTGCCCAGTTTATTCAGAAGGGTATAGGCCAGTTTCAGACTGCGACTCCACAGTTTACCTATACAGGTTTTTTTAAAAAAAAAGGAGAAGAAAAATGTCATCGTTTTCCAAAGGCCAGATTTCTTACTGTTAAATTGCCGTGTATTATTGTTGCATAACTGTTCCATGATCGCTTAACTTCCCAACCCACTATGGGTCCACACTGGAGGCAATGTAATGTGGGAGTTGTTCTACTCGGGCCAACAAATATTTCTTCCTTTGATCCAGCTCATATGCAAAAAATATACCTGACATTTATAGAGTGGACACAACAATACAGACACCCAAAATCGACTTTAATATTCCTACGAGGCAACGTGTCGCTCACCATATGTGAGAGTGTAGAGTGGTTTGCCAGTGATGTCCAGGGCAGTGAGGGCAGGGCTCTTGGCCTGAGTGGCCCCCCAGCGGGCAAGGGCAGCCTGCAGGGCAGGAGGCCAGTTACTGACCACCCCAAGGGGCTCCCCCTTCACTGGGATGATTTGACGTCCCTCAGGCTTCGGGGTGTTGGGGTCCGGTTGGGGAACTAGGCATGAGAATTGGCAAGCAAGAAACTGTGAGTACTGTAACGCTGTAGTGTAACAACACTCTGGGTGACTTCCTAAAGAAGTGAAAACCCTTTTCAAAACAACCAAGAGGATTTATGTGCTGTAGTACACACAACAGTGAAAATCAAGCATGACGTATCGTGTTATGTGCCACACCTTCTACGATTTCCTCAGAGTCGTCGAGGAAGAATTCGCTGAGCGGTGGTCTTTTGGGTCGTTTGAGTGTGTTCAACAGCTGCTGGATCTTAGTGGACACCCTGCTGCTGACAGGCACGCCTGGACAAACACGGAGAGCAGCCGCCGTCACCAACATATGCAAACAAACAATGACACGCAGACACCCACACATGCACGTTTATTCAAACACGAATCTCTACTTTAACACACGCTCGCTCGCTCACACAGGCAGTAACCTACGCACTAGCACAGTCAGGAACAGAATCAGCAGCAGGGAAAATTTGAAAGGGAAATTTGCACACAAGGAGACACAGAGTGGACAATTCTTTCAGGAAAATACTATAAAGGAAGATTTCTACTTCTACACCTACAGCATGAGACAAACGTAAAGAGAGGTAGATATCAGGATGGGAAGCAAGCTACTTGGGGCCTCTTCGGCATCCCTCCCCTTCCCCAGGTTCGATGTATATTACCTTTTCTTTTTCCTTTTTTAAATCAAAGTCAAGACAGGGACAGGATTAATGGACCCAAAAGAAAGAACACAAAATATCAGTCGTTAGCAGCATTCACCACACAGTGACATGAGGATGATGTTGAAGGTGATTGAGGATGAACATGGGTAGATTGTACGTTGATTGGAACACATTCAATCGCTTTTCTCACTGCAATGCTTTGAACCACACAGTCAATGCAAAACAGTCAAACATCGTCCGATGTCATGATTAGAATACCAAAATGACTGAACTGCTTGAAATGAGGAAAGAACCAAAAGACAGTCACCCAGATTCCAAATATTTCAGAAAATGAAGAATACTTTAGAGTTTTTCTCCCCACATAAAACTTTATATATATATTTGTACCACAGCCAGACGTTAACAGACATTCTGGCGTAAGTGAGTGTACCGTCAGCAGTATCCAGCATGCTGGAGCGGCTCTGTCCACGGCTCATGCCCCTGACTGCTGGGGGAAGATCCACCCTGGACCCTCTGTCTTGAGAAGCAGAGGACGTCACATCTGGGGGGACACTGTTTTCTATTAGGGCGGAGAAAAATAGCATCATTAATGGCAGTGACACTATCACTGAGATTTATGGATCAACGCTGGGAGTTCTCCATCAGGACGGTTTACCGATGCGTGTGTGGGCTAGCACGTCAGCTAACAAGGAAGCAGCAGGCTGAGGCTGGGGCTGGGGCTGACTCTTGGGCTCTCCATGGGAGAGGGTGGAGGAAGCAGATGAGGATGTGGAAGAGCTTTGGACGGAGCGGTTGATCCAGTAGTCGGGGCTCTGCAGGGTCTGAGCTAGTGCTGCACTGAGTGCTGCCTTTCTGCGCAGTGAGCCTTCATCCTCTGATGCAGAAGATGTGTCTAAGAGTAAGAGAAAACGTGAAAGAAATTATGATTCAATAACTTTTAATGTTTTGGTAAGGGTATTTTTTAGGAGCTACAATCACCAGCAACCATCTGATCTCAGAGTGGGTGGAACCAAGCTTACCTGGAGGTGTGCAGGTATCTATGGGAGACTGGACAAAGGCTGAGCGCCTCTTTGTTGGCATGGGAAGTGCCATTTTCTCCTCTTTATGTTTGGCCAGTGCTGCCTGGACAGCTTCTGTATGGATGTCTGCATAAATATAGAATAGAGAATAACCAGAGTGAGAACAACAAAGAAAAACAACAAAGACGAAACCTGTGAACTTCAGGTTAGTGATCATGATTAATGGCACTCATTAGATTGATCAATTCTCTGGACAATGGAGAAATCCAACTAGCTCAGTGAAGATATCCAAGGAGAATTATAGATTTACAGAGGTTGATAAGGTCTCTTGGAGAATTTTCTGTCACCCTCAGATGATAAGGATGTTTAGGAACAACCGAAGGAACCACCAAGGCTCGAGCCTGCCATGGAGTGGAAATTGCTGGAGCACCAGGTTATGCCATTAGTGCGTCAACATTAAACCCTGTTGAAGATTTGTGAGGATATATCTCCCAAATAAAGGAAATTCTATAATTGTTTTAACAATTAAAGTTAAAACAGTGACTTGAATTGTTGTACATTCATTCCAAATCAAAGAAACTATTTACAGGTAAACTCCATGATGTAAACTTTTGACCCCAACTGTACCTGGGTGCTTTTGTAGTGAATTTTGTGCTGCATACCTGATCTGTAGCGCTCGTCCCTGGCGCCTCCGCTGCGGTGTGAACGATGGTGTCTGGAGGCTGAGGAGGTGGAGGGGCCCGGGGCCTCGGGACTGGGGGTAGGGTCGGCACTGCGGCTCGGGGAAAGCTGCACATCTGGTAGAGGCAGATCCACATCTACAGAACAGAGCCCAGCATGTGAAAAGTCAATAAAAGTCTATATTTAGGGGACCATTAATAAAAGCAAAACAAACAATCTAACATGAGATCCAGGAAATTCAGACAAACAGAGCACACGTTGCTTTACATAATGCTATTACAGCAACGTGTAGGCATAAATATTATATGACCTTCTCTGAAGCTCTCCAAATTTAGCCTCATACAGCCTGTGAACAGTGAAATAAGGACATGTACTTGACTGATGCAAGTTATACTGCTAACAGAGTACATGAAACTGGGTCACATTTATATTTTTAGTCAACTGTCTTTTCCTCCCAGAGGGAACTGGGTAACTGAGTCCCTGAGGAGATGATGGTTTTGAGGGATAACAGGACGAGTGAAGGAGCACGCGGACACCCCTGGAGATTCAAAGCTTTCTGGTGTATGCTCTGACATTCAAACTAAGCTGCCAGCAAAAGTCAAACGAAAGCAGAAATCACTAAAAACAATGGGACTTTCATTCAAGTATTTAAAAAAAAGTTTTTCCCAAATGAAATCTAGATTAATATACGATCTTTGCGTGTAATCACATAAATGTTTTGGCAGCACAAGTCAAAACAAAGGTTAAACTAGAGGAAAGGGAAGTGTAGTGGTGCTCTCTTTTTTTTCTTTTTTTTTTAAAATAGCTTAAAGTGACACATCGAGAAAGATGTTTTTTTCACGCCGCTGCTGGCATGGTGCAATACTTTCCGAAGGAAACACCACACCCTTGCTTGAGGAAACTGACAGACAAATCAGTTTGTCTGTCACATAGTAACACAGAGAAGCTTTAGTACTTCCCCACAGCTGTAAACTGAAACAGTTTCAGAATGTATCACATTTACTGGGTACGCACTAAATACAGCAGAAAGTCTGACAGGAACTATGGGTTTGTTCGTCTGTGGCTTACCTGTGGTGATGAAGTTATTAAAGATATTTGTGCATCACTGGTTACCTTATGTGCAATTCTCATTTTGGCCACTAGAGTGCCACAGAAAGCCAGAAATTATGTTGCTAACTTGGACAAAGACAATCAACACTCACACTGAGAAGTCAGTCAAGTTTCTTCTCAAAGAAATGAAAAAAGGAAAAAACTACAACACGACATAAAGAATCCATTTTTTCGCTCTGTAAATGTAAATCTGAGGAATCTTCTTATGCAATCTAGCCTTGTTTTGCTTTTCAGCCTGAACAACAATAACACTGCTGACAGGGGAGGTGGGAAAAAAACACAAATGGAGAAAAAGAAGAAGGAAGGCTTTAATGTGACATGAAAAAAATTCCAAGAGCAGAAGAAGAACTGGTCTTACTTGGCAAATGGGAGATGTAGGAGGCCAGCAGCTTGGCTCTCTTCTTCTCATAGCCCTTCTGTGTGATGTCACCTAGGAGAGAGGACAGCAACACCAAACTGTTAGGTTAGTCATAATTACCACACAAACTCCAGACAACTACGTACACACAGACTCACAGACACACACATGTACAGCCTCTGCTTTCCCTAATACATTTTCAAAGGATTGAGTCATAATAATAATAATAATCCACTTTAAACCAAATCCACTGAACTCCACATGCTGACAGCTAAGTCCATTTACAACAAGGCGAGGAGATAACGCCATTGTTTGGCCTTACATTAGCCCCAGTGAATAAACATGCCTGCTGGCTATAAAACCCAAGTATGATTCCGCCGAGCAGCACGTAACCAGGCAGAGAACAATGCCAAAACATTGGGAATAGTTGGGATGGTAAGCAGAGCAAAAAAGGAAGCCATGTGAGCCAGTTTCACATGGGACTCGGTCATTTATCTGTCCCGACCTTTTCCCACTGTAGACCCAGCACCACCCCTTCCTCATTCGGCCTCGGCCTGGCAGGATTCCCAGTGATACTAGAGCGTGCTAGAGAGCCGCACAGGCCTGACAAAGTCCATTTAACTGGGACCCCAAAACACACAGTCTGCTCACTGCAAACATGCATGAAAGACACACCCTTACATACACACACTCCCCTTGAAAACACAAACAATCCTAATGCTACAATCTCCCACACTCTCTCTGCTAGTCGCCTTCTTTTGTGTCCAGCGATAACACCGCATGCTATGTCAAGTGCCAATCTCAAACGGCTGCTTAACCTCAATCTCCTGACACCTCCTCCACACTGACCAGCGACAATGAGGGGGACCTACAGAGAGCATGGGGGGAAGCTGAGAGTCACTAGCAGCAACAGGGAATGCAGACCAGTGTGTGCATTAAGCAACAATGAAAGAAAATAAGGAGAGAAACGGTGAGCCAAGGTTCAGCAGGGAGACTGGAGGGAGGTGTGCTGGATAAGCCGGGGCCGGGTGGGGAGTTTCGTGTGGGACTGAGATAGAGTGTGTTTTTTCTTAAAGTTTTCTCACACTCTGGTCACTATCCAGTGGAGTGTAGGATTTGCTTGTATAAACAAGAGAATCAGAAAGGAAGTCCCCTCTATGATTGTGTGTGTGCCTGGCAGAATGGGTTAAATATGAGACTTACAACACTCATATTATGAGAAGCAGAGTAAAAGTGAATAACATTCGTAGAGAAAAAGCCAACAAAACAAAGTTGAACAGTTTTAGAGTGAAAGGCAGTGTGTGACTGAGTGCCGAGTGCTTTGTCGTTCCCTCTGTGCAGGGGAGCAAAAAGGAAAAAATGGGGATGGCGAGCATTCAGCTTGGAGTTCATGCCTGGGTTCGCACACTAGGCTGAAATTCAGACACAGCAGCTTGTTGCAGTCTTTGTTTCTCCAGCTCTCTGGCATGCTACACACTTGTTTATACACAGGAAAACACTCATAGGCAGACATGCAAGCGAGACAATCAGCAGCAACTTGATTGGAGTGGACTGGAGCAGTTATTGTTGTCGGAGACAAGGTTACGCCAAGCCCGGTCCTGGTGCCCAATTGGTGCCGGGAGGGAAGAAGGGGAAGAGATGGAAAGATGGACGGAGCGCCGTCGGTCATTAACGCAGACAGAAGAGAGTCTGTGCTGGTGTCGGGCGAGTACAACAGGCACGGATTGGCACAGGCACACCAGCTATGTGGCTGGCAGTGGGAAGAAAGACACTGGAAGGCTCTGGGTTTAAAGACTGACTGTGACAGCTGGTTCAAAACAGAGAAAAAGCTGTATGTGTTAAGTGCAAGAATGTGGTGTTTTTGAGTGTGAGCATGAACAAAAACAGTACAGTAACTGTGTGTGTGTGTGTGTAATCTGAGGTCAGGGGACAGGATATGAGCATTACCCCACCCTGTGTGTGTGCTGCCAAAATCGTCTCACTGTGTCTGTCTAGAGAAAGAGGAATGTGCTGATTGGAAAACACCATACTAACAGAGAGGGCCAACTGGCCAAGAGAGAATGCTCATAGTTCCAAAAACGTCCCTGAGGTGCAGGAAGCTAATGTATCCGTGCATGTGTATGTGTGTATACACAGCTGGGGCAGGTTAAAGGGCGCTTCAGCACACAAGAGAATGAACGCTGACAGGGCCTGAGGTGTACTGGCACTACAGGCCTTCTCTGTGAGATGTGTGTCAGTATGTCAAACCAGGAATGCGTACTTCGTCCAAGGATCGGCTGAACCTGCCCAGCATGCTGTGATAGAGCCACAGTATCACCAATGAATGTATCTTTAAGAGCGTATTAAAAATGTCTGACAAATCTCACATCTATAAGCAATTATCAGTCCTTCTCCTTGGCAGCCAGACCTTCTAACTGACTGTTTTGTGTTAATCGTGCTGTTCGTGACATTTTCAGAGCTCATTCAAGACCAGATGACAGTGACCCTGTGAGTCTTCTTTTAAAATATCCGATGTTGACCTCATACTTCAAGACAAGTCATACAGTGGACTGATCTCCTAATAGCTGGCAGCGCAGGGTCACAGAGGGGATAAACACACTCACATGAACGGCATTCCCAGCCACGCTGATAACTGCGGAGGGCTACAACTTTTTCTGACACAGTAGGGGATTACGGAGCACTTCAGATTTAATCTGCACTGGCATTCTCCACTATGATCCGGCACATTAGAGCCATTTGAGTTTTTGGAGATTAACTGTTTATTTGTGCACTGTGCATCACTCCACGCGTACACATCTTGATCTTGTTGTCAGGGTGTTTTCCTGGAGGCTCCGAGTGGGTCTTAGACAGGTAGCAACGCACAAAGGCAATTTTTTTTCTAGTTATTTCTGATCATTTGTGAATAAAACCTCAAACTGTTACAACGATGATTACTTTCCTGCGGGTTCTTTGCTACAGCCTCCCTGGGAGGAGGCCACAGGAGAACACCCTGGTTGTGATTTCGACTTATATGTGGCATGACATACGCTCGAAAAAGCGGAAAAATATATTTTTATGAACCTGTGAAAGAGGATAAAGTCACTGTGTGCCCTGTGACCGTGTCAAATCAAATCCAAGAACTGAAACCATCATGAAAAGTGAATTTCTCTCTGACGACATGGCTGGGCATTAAGCATTCATGACATAACATTTGCTCCCTGTGGTTTTCCAAGCAGCTCAAATGTTGAATCATCGGACTGGCTGTAGCTGATACAGCTAAAATTTCGCTTCTTGGATTACTATTACCCATGAACAGCACCCCTTTTTGTTTTCCAAATACAAAGGGAAAAAAAGCTGTTAAAGAAAACGCTTAATGGTCAGTACATGACCTGGAGGTATACAGGAGGTTGTTTTTGGTTGTGATTTGTCTTGGTTTTTGTGTTTTATTGTCTTTACCTTAATGCAGTGTGATCTTCTATGCACACCTTACTCTGTCCCTCCCAACCCACTATGTCTGTGCTGTTCTTTTACCATCGGGAAGAGCTGAAATTTGTATTGGAAGCAGTTTAATTCCAGCTGCCAATACCCAGAAACAGCACTGCATTTGAGATATTTATATAAAACTAAAGCAACGAGGTCAGTGTCTGCCTCAGCCACTCTTTCAATCAGTGCCACAACTGCTGCCAAGATTTCTTCTCTTTAAATGATATTCATTAGGTCATGAACAACTGAGAGGCTCAGTGAAGCGCTTTTTAATGCCAGTGATTTCCCTCAGTCCTGGAATCACTGCACAGTTCTCCTGAATGAAAATCTAAATCTTGGCCTTGAGCTTCAACCCTGAGATAACAGCTGATCTATGAATCTCTGTTTAACAATTAACACCCACCCACCCATCAGCCTGATCTACACACACACACACACACACACACACACACACACACACA